ATAAACTGAGAAAAAATTATAAGATATAAGACAAAGGGTCAATTTTCTTAATATTGGAAAACTCTTAAAGCAATTAGAAAAAAACAACCTCACAGAAAAATGGGCAGAGGTGACAGTTTATAGAAATTAAACACAAATGACAGAATACAAAGGAAAGATGTTCAAGCCGACTTATAATTGAAGAAATATAAAACAGAAGAGTAATATAAGCATCTTTTCTTCCTATCAAATTGACACTGACTAAAAAGTCTGCTAACACCCAGTGCTGGAGCGGGTGGCAGGGACAGGGCTATTGTAGGCTGCTGGTGGCAGTGACAGTGACGATCTTCTGAGGGGCAAGGACAGGAACAGAGGCTAGAGTATAAAGCATGACTACTCTTTGTCTCAAGTAGCTCCAATGCCTAGGACTTTATCCTACATGCTGTTGACTTGAGCACTTCTTCTAATACTGAACACTGGTAACAGCCTAACTGTCCATCAATAGAGTACACACAGTAAGCCACAGCCATAAAATTAAGCCCAATGTCATCATCATCCAAAAGAATGAAGCTGTACACCCAGATGGTGAGAGAGGTCTAATGCATAACATTAGGTAGGACTCAAAAAAACAAGTGAAGCCAGAGTGTTTGTATGTACAGAGAAGATTTCTGTAAAGATGCAGAAAAATTGCTAAAAACGAAACTAGAGGGTTTGGGACATAGGGACTTTTTTTTTTTTTTTTTGCTTTATTTCTAGGCTGCTTGAGTCTTTTTAAAGATGATCTGTACCTTTATAATTTTAAAAAAATCAAACACCAGCTGTTAAAAATTACTTTTGGCTGGGCTCGGTGGCTCAGCCTGTAATCCCACGCTTTGGGAGGCCGAGGTGAGTGAATTGCCCGAGCCAGCGGGTTCAAGACCCGCCTGGACAACTTGGCAAGACCTCATTTCTACAATAAATTAAAAAAAAATTAGCTGGGCATGGTAGTGTGCGCCTGTAGTTCTAGCTACTTGGAAGGCTGAGGCAGAAGGATCGCTGGAGTCCAGCAAGTCGAGGCTGTGGTGGCCGGGAGCAGCCACTGCACTCCAATCTGGGCGACTGAGTGAGACTCCAACTCAAAAAAATAAAAAATCAAAAAATTTTAAAAATTACTTTCATTTGTTATCTGGTTGTAAGGGAGAAAGGCCCAAAAGAAGAAAAAAAGAGGTTGAGGGCCATCAGCCCGAAAGGCAAGTTCAGCAAGGACAGAACCCCCTTCCCACATCCAGTCCACTCCCCTTAAACACCACCCATGAAAAGAAACCAGAAAGAATACAGTCACTGCAGACCCATTGCCCCCAGGACAGGCACGTGTGGGAATCTGAACTTGGGGCCTGAACAGTCTTCCACCAACCAATCAAGTTCATTCCTGGGTAATATCACAAATTACCCTGAAAAGCAAATTATTCAGTTAGCTTTAGATCATGTGCATGTTATAATTTTCATTTGAATATGAACACCTATAGTATTCCATTTCACTCAACAGGTATGTTCCTCTGGGGCAATGAGCTCACTAATAAGAAAGAATGGAATACAGAAAGCATGGTGCCAAGGCCAGGCTCAGTGGCTCATGCCTATCATCCCAGTACTGTGGGAGGCCAAGGCGAGAGGATCATTTGAACCTAGGAGTTCAAGACAAGCCTGGGCAACGGTGAGACCTCATCTCTACAAAACACCTAAAATATTAGCCAGGTATGGGGGCACATGCCTATAAAATTATCCAGGAGGCTGAGGCAGAAGGATTGCCTGAGCCCAGTAGGTCAAGGCTACAATGGGCCATGATCGTGCTACTGCACTCCAGCCTGGGCGTAAGAGTGAGACCTCGACTCAAAAAACAAACAAGGAAAAAAACACCCTGGTGTCTATCAACAAGTGACTCAAAAATCTATCATGGGAGGGAAACACATATACACCCACCAGAAGGCAGGCTGAAGGGTTCCCTGCTCTAGCAAAGGTGCGTGGAGGGGTTGACCCCACCTGGAACTGTCAGCGGTGGCAATGAAGAGAGGCATCTCTCAGAAGTAGGGAAACTGACACACAACACGACCCTTGCCCTATGTTCTACTCACTCGATTCTTTCTCTGTGTTTATGTCTAACAGATAAATGTGATAGCTGCCCCTTGTCCTGCTGCTTAATTCATATTACTAAATGCCACACCATCTCTTTGGGAAAGCAATCACTTGGTGCCAGGTGTACTTTTCAGTAACAAATGTACTACCATAAATATTTCTTTGATTAAACTTTGTTCCATCATACCCATAAACCACTGCAACAGCCCCAAAATTCCAGTTAATTAGCTTACAAGCTATAGCTTTTCAACTGTTTCTTGCACATGAACTCCATTTATTGGTTCATATTTTAAAGCCCAGAAAATAAAGTCACCCTAGAACAATCATAAGAAAAGCCAGTCCAGTACTTCAAGTCTATAATGGACAGTACGTGATGATCCAAGCACTGCCATGACTGTCTCTGCAGGTATGTTGTTTTTACTGTTTCAGATCCAGATGCAGATGGTGCAGAGCTGCTGCCGCGAGGGCTAAGGAAGAACAGCGAGGTGTCACAGAACCTGAACCCAGAGGGGTCACACCATTTATACAGCACAGACTTCTGACACCCTGCTCATTAGAGTGCCTGTTTTATAGGCAGGAAGCCAGTGTCTAACCTGGCTGCCCCCACCCAGCTGTGACCTTCAGCGAACACACATGTCTGAACCTCTGCTTCCTCAAGGTCCAGCTCCTCCCTCAGAGCCCATGTGAAGAGGGTCACAGCCTCGGTGAGTCAACCAGCGCACCGCCTGGCTCAGAGCCAGTAGTCCGCAAACGCCAGTCACAATGACCAGTGCTGCTACCATGAACCCCCACCAGAGCTAGTGGGGCAGGCACAGGGACATCAAGCCACTATGGGGACCAGGAAAGCAAGTAGGAAGTACAGAGCAAACACCTTTGTGCCCAGAACACGTGACTTGGAGGGTCACACAGCTCTCAGAGCAAGTTCAGCCCAGTGGACAAGAACTCACGCTCAAAATATGCTCCAGAAACCTCACTCCCCCACTCCTAGTGGGGAGACTTGCTGCTTGGAGGAGACGGCCTTTCCCAGCCAACACGGGCTGATGACCAGGCATGGGGCTTACGCCTATAATCCCAGCACTTTGGGAGGCCAAAGTGGGAAAATCACTTGTGCCCAGCAGTTCAAGACCAGCCTGGGCAACACAGCAACACCTCATCTCTACAAAAAATTAGCCAAGTATGGTGGCACGCGCGTGAGTCCCAGACACTTGGGAGGCTGAGGCAAAAGGATCACCTGAGCCTAGAAGGTCAAAGCTGCTGCACTCCAGCCTGGGCCACAGAGTAACATCCTGACTCAAAAAAAAAAAAAATACCAGCTGACAACAGTCCTTCAAGTACTTCATGGGGATGCTGTGATAGTCAAAGTAAGTGCGGCCAGCCACAGTCTCCTCTCAGCATGTCAGTGACAAGCACTCCAGTGTTAACCACCCACCTGTCCTAAAACCCTGGCACCCCTTGGAGTTACTACAAAGAGTCTGACGAGAACTTGAACACTAGCGTGTACTTCAGAATTTCAGAGACATGTACTCTTTTTCTCTATAGAGACCAGTGTGGTTAATAAAATACTACTGACGTTAAAAGTCCTACTCATAGTAGCTTTTAAAAATAGATAACGAAAGTTGAAATATATTCAAACAACAGAGAAACATATAAAGTAAAAAGTGAGCTCACTCATCCCCGTCTCCCACCGTACACTCCATAGGCCCCAAGTCCCCTTTCCTGTGAAGCCACTGGAAGGCAGCTGGCGGCCACACTGCATACTCACCCTTGCCCCCCTTCATGCATGTGAAGCGCGAGGGGGACAAGGGTTTTACAAACAGGGATCAAGCCATAACTATTATTCGTTGATTCACCAATATATCACGGATATCTTTCCACGTTGGTGCATAAAATCCTAACTCATTTTTAGATGCTGTTTAATGCTTCAGGTTATAGACAAATTACAATGTATTAACACACTATAACAGGCACTTAGTTTACCTCTAATTTTTTGCTACTAAAAATAACCCCATGATGAACACTTTGCCTGAAGGGCATTCAACACTCGTGCAGCAATGTCTGCAGGACAACTTCCTCAACATGGACCTAAGTCCATGCTATGTCATCTTACATGCTGATAGGTATCACCAAACTGTCCTCCAAAGGGCACGTGCCACTATACCGTCAGCAACCATCTTTTTGAAAAACAGGACCAAAAAAGTATACTATCATTGGGCAAACTAAAGTTTTTCTGTCTTGAAGATGGCCCTCATCTTTAAAACAGGATGGGACCACAGACACACCCTTACCTTCCCAGCACAGGGCTCCATGTTGCTAACCAACTGGCAGTTCAACTGGCAGCTCAACAGCACTCAGACCACGACCTCCTCTGCCTTGACGTGGCTCATGTCAAAACCAGCTCTCCAGTGCCCAAGCTACACTGGCCTTGCCCCAAGCCCACAGGGGGAGAGAGGAAGAATGGGAGCACGAAGTGTCTCTGCTGTCACCCAGCAGCCCCACTAAGCCCACTAGCACAGCGCCAGTCCACAAAGTACACATGTGAAAGCACCCTCTGTGGTTTTGAAGCAGCAATGGATTAAAACCCCCTCACCAAGCATCACAGGCCCACAGGTAGTTTACACGTTTCATTTTGTCCTGCAATATTATTACAGTGAGGAGCAAGAGCATATGAAGGTCATGTTAGTAATTAAAGCTATATTGTAGAAATACGCTCACCCAAGATATGATTAAATAAGGAAATATGACTTGGTTCAGTATCATCATTAAACTTGTATTAATTTATAAATATTTAAATGTACCATATGATGATCATAAATAATCTGTTTCTGTCAGTTTCTAGAGTAATGCAGCCCATAAACCCTTGAACAAATGACTGCAGAGAGCAACAGTCAGGAAAGTCTACAAGCCAGACTCACATTCAAAGGCAGTCGTCGTTGCTTCAGGCAGGACCTGGCCTATCACGTCCTAAACAAAGAAAGAATAAAGAAACACAATTAGCCATCTTTTTTACAGCGAACATGTGGCAAATCCTGGAGGAAATATGAGAACCTGGGGAAGAGTTCTGAAATGCTGGCATAAACTGTAAAAGCACCCGGTATGCTCACATGCACCTAGCAGCGTAAACCTAGGGCTCCTCTTCCAGGAAGAAGTCTCTGGGAATCCTTTCCACTCTGGATTAGCATCGTCTTTGATTCACAGTTCATGGAGATGTCTGTTCACAGCTGTGTCTATTGAGCACTGGCTCTGGGAGGCTGCAGAACTTGTGGATTTTCCACAGTCAACTGCAGAGGCTTGAGAAGGGCTTTGAAGTTAGGGTAGCCTGAACTGAGGCCTCAGCGCTGCACTTATCATCAGATGTAAAGCTTGGAAAACGTGACCTCTCGGACACGCAGTCTGACTACCCTCCAAAATGGGTCTAGCAATACTCAGAGGTAATGCCATAAGCAGCGGCTGACCCCAGTTGTCGACACTCAACAAATGTAGTTCCAGGTATTTTACAAGCAACACCGCACAAGGCACTCACAACAGCAGTAGTCAACATGCAGGTTTCTGGGCTGACATGAGCCACAACACTGCACTTGACACAAACAATCTCTTCAACCCTTACTCTTAAGCAACAGAAAACATTCCATGACACAAAAATAATCTAGCCCACAAAAACATCTAAAAAAATCTATAATCTGATATCAATGTTTAAATGAATCCACAGAGTTGAAAAACCTTGAAGATCTGAATACAGAGACAGCCTGGGGAATACCCCGCTTGATGTCGAGTCCAGCCTGACAGCCACATACCTCGTTCCTCCCAGGAGCTCTGCACACATCCCTGCCGGTACAGGGCTGGCACAGGGCTGGCACCCGGCGGCAAGCTGTGCGTGGTACCCAGCAGGGAGCCGTGGCCCTTCTACAGGGCACTTAGCCAAGCGCTCTAAAGGCAATCCTTTCCAAGCTTCCGCTGCAGGGCAATTTGCATAATAGTCTTGCCTCTATAGTGTTTTTTTTTTAATCTGTGCATATAAAATGGTTCAAGGAGACTCTCTTAGGCAGCGCTTCTCTTGGAGTGAGAGCTTATTTCTTTTCTGGCTGTAGTCTTAGAAAATGAAACATCAATTTTTTGAGGACGTATCTGTGAAGGGTTTAGTATCTCCCTACACGCTCCTAGTTGGCATGAAACCATGCAGGAGGATGGAATGGAGGCTGGGTCTCAGTGAACCTGGCATCCACGGGGGGGTGCACTGTCTGGCCAGCTGAGTGGACAGGCTCCGTGCCTCAGTTTCCTTTGTGGGTAAATGAGATCATGATTGTGCCAACCTTGCAGGGCTCAATGAATGAGTATCTGTGAAGTGCTCAGAAGACTGTCCAGCACATGGCACATGCTGTGTTAATGTCTCTTAAACAAATAAAACTGCTCACAGATCCCTGGAACTTTACAGAGCTCAGCCCACAATGAAACCCTGAAATCCCAGCACCTGATCATCAGTGGGAAACAGTCATGCATCCACTAACTTCATCCTTCCACAGCACATGCTGAAGGTTCTTTCTAGCCAGTATAGGTTAAAAAAAAATAATAATAATGGGGCAGAGACACCTCCATCCCCAGCCCTCCAAGCCCAGGTTATCACAGCTGCTTCACAGATGCCAGACACCCATCTTGAGGCGTGGACTCTGCCCCTACAGTCCTGGCCAACTAACTCAGGTTCCTTTCTGGCTAGGCACAGCAGACCCATCGGGCAGCAAGTGTTAAGGGCCAGCAAAAGGCCCCGCTGGGCACCAGGGTGTGCTGCCCCTCACTGTGTACAGGCACCACTCATGCCTCACCTCTGGACTGAGAAGGAGAGAACGCAAGTCTGTCAAGAGTCTGTGAACAGAATCACCCACTGCACTTCTCAGAAGCAGACGAAGGGGGACCGTGACAGTGACAAAGGGTTGAGAGGTTGAGGAATCAAGCATGGCCACTCATCATGTCAAAGCAGGGCACACTTAATGACATACATATTCTTTTCAGTTATATTTAAGGGACTTATTTCCAGGGACCTTCTCCTGCCCTCAACAACAAACACTGTACCTCACCTAAAGGTTTCAAAAGCAAACCTAGGCGGTGGCTCACATCTGAATCCCAGCACTTTGGGAGGCCAAAGCAGGAGGATTGCTTGAGCCCAGGAGTTCAAGACCAGCCTGGGCAACTTGGCGAGATCTTGTCTCTATAATAAATAAAAAAAATTAGCCAGGCATGGTGGCACATGCCTATAATCCCAGCTACTTGGGAGACTGAAGCGGAAGGATCACTCGAGCCCAGAAGGTCGAGGCGGCGGTAGCTATGATGGTGCCATTGCACTCCAGCCTCGGTGACACAGTGAGACCCTGACGTAAAAAAAAATAAGCAAACCTAAGTTTATGTCTTGATGATGATCGTTTCTTGATCCTTTTCTTCCTTATAATAAACCAGACAAATATCTGACAGACCAGAGAGTTATATAAATGGATGTCTACAACCCGCCAGGAACACAAAGATCCCAGGGTTGCAGGCTACAAGTGTAAGACTAGGTCCTAGACTCCAGGAAGATGACTACTGGGTCATGGAGCTAAGGACAGGGCTGAGGACTACTGATGCACAACATCCAGAGTCACCAGAGGTAAGCAGAGGACAGATAGCAAAGAGCACGAGCACTTGCCAACTCAGGAGAAAGGGAGACAAAGGCTGGGCCTCCACAGACAGGGCGTCAGCAAGGGAAAGTGAGCTGGGCTGGAGACTAGGGGACACGGGCACGGGGTCACGTCCTTCCCATACTCACTACCCCTCTCCCGCAGTGTTCCAGAACGAGGAAGCCCTCTCCAGGGGAGACACACAAGAGATAACCCAACTGTCTCTACCCTGAGGACTGCGCAGCCCAACCCTGATGAAGCAGACAGATGATGAGGCCCAGGGGACCAGTGACCTGCCTGGGGATCTCAGCGTGTGACACAGGGTGGGAGGAGTCCAAGCTGCTGACTTGGGCCCGACACGTGGCACTGACTCATGATGACGCCTGCTCGGGATCTGGTGTCTGCTCCCCAAGACCTAGCTGTGCCCCCGCCCCCAGAGCTCACACTTCCCATCTGCAGTGGGTCAGAGCAAAGGAGGGACCTGCAGGCCCCATGGCACTGACACAGGAGGCATAAGCCCAAGAGACGGCGTGGCTGCTGGCTCCTGCTGGAGAGAGGAAGGGGAGCAGGTCACGGGGTCTATGATCCAGGCCTCACATCCACAGACCCTGTAGCCAGGGTGCCCAGGGGGCAGCACAGTGCCAGCGGCCATGAGCCCTTACCACCCTCCCAACAAAACGCACCTTGGGGCTCACCAGGTTATGTGGGCTGCAACATTCACCTGCAGGCCACTGGACATACCAGGCACAGTCAGAGGTGCTCAGGGAGACTCCAGCCTGGCACTGCATCAACAACAATGCCAATGATAATAATAACATCCCCACCACCACCACTTGCAGAGCACCTTCCTCATGTGAGATGATGTCATGGGCCTTACACATGGCCCCCCAGGAACCCCGATACCACTGAGGCTGGCACTGCCTCTATCCTACCTTCCCTTCATCTTTTTAAAAGAATGAAGAAAGGGAGACACAGAAAACCCTTGCCCAAGGGGTCGGACGCTAGTATAATCCAGGCAGGCCCGAGCTCTGGCCCCGACCGCCGCTCTGGCCCACTGAGAGCCTTCTGTTGCTCAAGAAAGTGGCGCGAGCACATGCCCTCCTCATCAGACACAACTCACCTCGTCATCACACGCCTCTGAGGCAGGTGGAAGTTTCCCCACTTGACAAATTGAGAAACTGAGGCTCAGGGAGGTAAAGTGACTTGCGTAGTGGGACCCCTGACAGTGAACACTAAATTTTTCGACTCAAAACCCAGCGCTCTAACCACAGCACCATGCCCACCCACCTCTTCTCTTAAGCTCCATCATTAAACAAATATCTGGGGTCCTTGGAAGCAACAGACCTCCTGTCACCTCCTGAGCCAGACTGTTCTGTGGAGGAAAGGACAGAGAATCACCACCAGGCCATCACAACTGAGAACGTGTGCTTTGCCCAGTGCCCACACAACGCTGTGAAGGCACAGAGCAGGGCACAGAGCCACAACTAACACAGAGAAAACATGGAGCGCCTGGAAGGACAGGTGGGAACTGGCCAACTGAGGGACAGGGCAGAGCAGACACAGCCTGGACACTGGGATGACTGAAAGACAGTATGCACATACGAGGCAAGGACGCACATGGGGGCAGCTGGACAAAGCTGGTGCCAGGCAGGCAAGAGCCCGGGAGACAAGCCCAGAGGACCATGGGGAGTCAGGGCCTCAGTGTGAGGGGAACCCATGTATATGGCATGCACAGAGAACTCTGGGTACAAAGAAAAAGGTGGTGTGTGACACCCCAAACTGGGGCTCCTGGCCCAGCACCTGAACACCTGGATGGCCTGGGCAGTCAGTGACAACCAGAACTCAAAATGAAGTTAAAGGCCAGGTGCATTGGCTCATGCCTGTAATCCCAGAAATTTGGGAGGCCGAGAGGGAAGGATGGCTTGAGCCCAGAAGTTCAAGACCAGCCTGGGTAACATAGAGAGACCTCATCTCTATAAAAAATGAAACAAGCCAGGTTCGGTGGCTCAGCCTGTAATCCCGAGCCTTTGGGAGGCTGAGGTGAGTGGAT